GGGGCAATTACAAAAATGTCATTTTTTGTGTGCACATTTGCAAGAATGCCACTTAGGGGTGTTCATTTACAAAAATGCCACTAATTATAGATTTATAAAACCTATATCTTAAAATTTTAAATCCTAAAAAATGTTTTGACACCTAAAACCCCCTAAACACTCAAAACTAAACCCTAATAGAACATAATTAACCCAAACATAAATAATATAAAGAAAAAATAATTTTGAAAAAGTGGCATTTTTGTAAAGATTTCAAAAGTGTGGTATTTTTGTAAAGTGGCACTTGAAAAGTGGCATTTTTTGAAATTTCTCTATATATATATGCTCAGAATATTATTTTTTGGTGTAAAAAATGGTGTAATATATTGGAGATGCTCTAAACCACTCTCAGCTCATTTCTATTTCTCTATTTGAATGCTATTGATTTGAGAATCGAGAAGGTTTGTTGTTTTCTTCAACTTATATAATTAAGAATTGTTCTTCTGTCTATACATTCTCATGTATTTACAATTTTGCGAGTTTTTTTTATGTATTATGCATCGCGTTTGGTTTATGATGCCTATTTGCTCAACATGAAAACCAGTTTAGTTCAGACACAGGGAATTTCTTGCTAGACTGTCTTGAGTTTTTTTCTTAATTTTGCATTTTACAAACTTCGAGATGTTAAGATTATGTGGTTTTCTGATGATGAGTTATACTTTCTACAAGTTCTTCTTTTCTCTTATGGAGTTCAAATATAATTATAAATGGTTCACGTTTGATGCTTTTAGGAGTTATGGAGACATGTTACAATGTAAAAGGTTCATGTCTCTACTCTTACTCTGCCCTCAAATGTTATAGATTCGTTTTCTAAATTCTAATATTAGATTTTTGAATTTTTCGAGTAACTTTTTGTAGAAGTCCAAACAGTTACCAATTAGAAGGGTTCCAATGGAAATATTTGTGATTATTATAAACTACTAAGGTAAGAGATAATTTATGTATATATATGCTAATTTTGATGAAATAAGTAAAATAAATAAAAAAGAAGAGAGAATGAGAAGTGATCTCAAAAGTTTTTGTGTTTTCTTATTACTACGTCTAATTTTTATAAAGAGAAGTGCTCATATATATAGTAGTACAAAATTAATAGTTTAATTAAAATAAGTTGGTAAACATTTTTTGCTAGAAGGTAAAGTTTTACTTGTAAGTAAAGTAATTACTATTATATGTGGATACTTAATACTCCCTTGAGTATCCATCATTAGTAAT